TATATATATATATATATATATATGAAGCATATTTTGAATTACTCATTTGTTTTAAATCTTACAATCTAGCACGCCCCAGAGCCATAAATGAAGAACAGGTAATCATTTCCCCTCACTTTTGCCCTAGGTGTTTTCTGTAGCTGAATATGTGATCCCATGTCCCTCGAGGTAATAAAATTTGACTCACGAGGAAATTATTTTCAGATGGATTAAAAGGCAGAAGCGGAGGGTTAACTGTGAGACTGGTGATCAGAACATGGGCAGGAAGTGTAAATCAATAAAACTAACTTTACTATGAAGTTTTCATAAAAGTAATGGTACTAAACCTCATGAGCCATTACCTTGCCATTAACCTTGTGGTATCAGCAGGGGGAGCACCCGTTTAGTGCAGCGTATGTCTCGAGCAACACCTTATTTAAGAGAAGAACAACCCTGTACTGTAATTTGACAAAACGTCAGCTGTCCGGCTAGTCTCATAATGTAACATCTAATTTGACTATGCAATAAGGCTTTTTTTGTGTCTGGTTGTGAATTGACCTGCTAAATGCAAACACCGCTTTCCATAATTTTCTCCATTAATATTAATACATATAAAAGGTGTGATCAATACAAACGAACAGCATTTCATTTCATGCATCCGCAGGCGAGATTTTGGAAATATGAGTCGTGTCGTGTGCGTGTGTGTCGGTGCGCGCGTGTACGTGTGTGTGCGTGTGTGTGTGTGTGTGTGTGTGTGTGTTTGTTTGTTTGCCAGCCATAAATATAAATATTATCGGCTAGATTTTTCAGAAGTTTCAAATCAGAAGATTTGAAGGATCAAAACACAACATTTTAGTGATATTTGCTCGAACATTGAATATACGGTCTAAGCAATCATATGTTGTGATTCTGTAAAATCATGCAATTAAACTGAGAAGCAAAGTAATAGTTTTTAGGCTTTTACTTAGAACAACGGGTCAGTAAATTATTTTATTGGCTGCTCCCTGACAGAAAGTGAGCTTCTTGAGAAACAAGTAAGTGGGCTTGGCTAAATTCCCTGAACTGCACTGATCTACTCATCATCTCCTTCTCTCTTTTTTCAGACACCTTCGTTAAATACGAGCTTTACGTCAGTATTGATAACTTTGCCAAAGCAAAATCAAGTGCAGTAGTCCAGTTAATGTTGTGGACGGAGGTTCGGACCCAATCAGCTGGCGTTTACTTTGAAAGTGGTGCTGCCAAAACCTACTTTTTTTCTTCTTTCGTACTTCCAAACATTCGAATCAGACGTGATGACAAACATATCGGCGGAGTCGTGTTGTGTGTTTTTTGTCAAAGTGGCACCCGTGCCCATAAAGGCGTTTTAACTGGGGGGAATCCAGCCCACATATTTATTGCAGCCACTGAAAAAAAATCTCCTCAATATCCCCAAGATGGCCGCCGATGTAGGATCGATGTTTCAATATTGGAAGAAATTTGATCTACGGCGGCTTCAGGTTAGTGGTATTCTCATTCTCGGTTTATTTTTTTCCAGTGGCAAGTGTTCTGTTGTGCTCGGAAGTGTCTCGGGTCTTTTTGGGTGACTGCGAGAGTGAAAGCGGCGTGCTTTGCATCGCTACTTATTAGAAATTGATCCGTGTTCTGCCTTTGTTCGGTTCAATCATTGATCAGCGTGGAGCGACCGGGGAGCAGCACAGCCTCCACCAGCCACACCGATCTGGGATCAGCACCGCGGACAGCACTGTTATTTTTTTTTCTTTCTTTTTTTCCGCTAAAATCTCGACAGTGAGCAGCTCGCACCGCTGTGCTCGCATGTACGGAAACTTTTAATGTGCCGTTGAGTCAGTCGCTCTTCTTTCATGGTAACTTTTCACACAGCTTTGCGTTTTGTACGGTTTGTGTCGACGGACGTCACGACGCTGCTGGCTGCACCGGTCTTTTGCTTTAAACCTCAAATTACTGTCGTTTTAGTTGCTTGTAGCCTCCAAGATGACAAGTTTATTTGCAAGTTTTTTAAAACGGAGGTATTTGCTAGTCTCTTTACATTTTACGGAAGCGCGTTGGTCATAACGCGTGGACCGGACGTTGAGGTTGATAAACAAGCAAATACAAACACGTTTTTATGGGGGGCGAACACGTCTTCTTTGAAGCTTCCAAACGATCATCTGGTCGACTTATGTGGCACTGAAATGTGTCTTAACGGCTGGCGTGGGGAATGTGGCAGGTGAGCACTTTGGTTTATTGCAGACTAACATTGCACGCATCGTTCCTTATACCTTCACCACACCGTTAGCCTGAAAGTTGAATTGCTGAACCGCAATATATGGCTGTTTTGCTATTTATGCATTTATTGCAATGTATTTATTTATTTTTTTTAGAAAGCAATGTTGGTTGAAATCATCTGTGGTTTCCGCTCCCCTCCCTGCCGACCTCTCTCCCACTGAAGCCGCATAGAGCTGCTCGAGCGGGGGGCGGTGGGGGCTGTGTAATCGTATTCCCCGCTAATGTTTGTAAATCAGCCTCGGCCGGCGCAAGGGCACCGTCTCTGCCGTCTGACTGATGTCGTGCATCATGACAAATGACAGGAGCATGGCAGCCCGCCCCCCTCGCCAAAGCCTACCGAGCAGAAACAATCACATCTGGTGTGTGTGTTGGTGTCGAGTGTTGTTGCAGCTCTTGGCCGCTGGACCGCCCTGTCATCCGGGCTGCCGCCACACGGTTGTAGCGGGATCTCTCAGAACAGGACCGAGAAATATTCATCAACATACACGAGCTTTGTCATCAAATTGCAACGAGTCGACTCGTAGAGACGTTCCCAGGTGCTCCCCGAGCCCTGAACCTATTATAACGGTCTGTAAAAAAAGTATAACCTTCATTTTATTCATACAAAACATACACGATCCAATGCAGGAGTTACACCTATCGGCCAAAATATAATCATTTGCACTTTTTCGCATTAGAATGACCTACAAAATTGCATCAAAAAGAATTTGCCTCGCCATGTTAATAATGCTCATTTATTTTGGATTGTTTATTCTTGGCATAGTTTGCAGAAATTACAATGAATCATATTGAGAGTTGTGTTTAATGTTTTGTCTCACGTGGCTCAACCGAAATTAGAAACACTCCACTGTAACACTATAACCTTATGAATATATTCTGATAAACAAATACTTAATAATGTCTCTGAAATATTTGCAATATGTTTCTTGCAAAGGCAATTTTCCATACTTTTCAACAACATTGTGTACCTAATGTTGTGCCTATGAAAAAAAAAATCTGGCAGGATATTGCTCAGTTGTCTCCCTCTACACTGTGAGCGATGAACGCATTTAAGGTGCGAATTATTGGAGCAGTTTGTTGCAGTGGAGGACAACTATGTTGCATGGTACTGTGAAGCGGTTCTACCCCATCATATATCCGTTTTGATACAGAGCACTTTTAAATCACTGCAGAGTATAAGTGCAATAATAAGCATATTTTTAAAATTAGTATCTCTTTGACAGTGTAAAAAAACACTAAAATCTGCAAATCAAGACAGCCTCACGAATGCATTTTTTTTCTGTCTCTCTCTTTACGTAGTGTAAGTGTACGTAGAGTGTCTGCTGAAGCCGTAACTTCATAGATCACATTATAGTGTCCTTGTAAAATTGAGAACAATGTCACCCCTCTAAAACTACTTGAATCCAGATTTGCAATTATATATGATTTTGCTGTTTTCAAGTAATAATTAAAATGGTTGATACAAGATTGCTCACTGATACAAGAACGATTTAGTAATACCGAAATTTACTAGTCGCCATCTTTTTAAGTGGTGTAATGACACTAAAAGTAACACTGAATCGTGGATTTTCACATTGCACTGTTGGGTGTTGGTTGTGCTTCGTACTTTGTTTGTCGTCTTTTGATTCAGAAGTGTTCAAAAATTAATGCCCATGCTTTGGATAAATTGTATGAATAAAAATTTTAGGAAGTGCAATTCAGTACAAACTTCCAGTTTGTCCTTGGTAATGAAAATAACTGTTGCCCTTGTCAAAATAAGATTTATAAGATTTGTTAAAGTCAAATTCATGGCTCAGCTGTTGGCCTGCACTGATGTGTGAACAATTTGACGAAATCATGCTCACGAATGTGTTTGCAAACAAGATGCATTTTTAAGATTTTTTTTTTTAAAAGACGTTTGAAGATAACTCAGGTGCTATACGAGTTCAACATATTGTTTTACTGCTGTTGAATTTTATTCCAACACTATTTTTCCACCACATGCCAGAAGCTTAAAGTGACACCCTTAGCAGCAGTTGATTGCACTTTCAGAGAACGCATTATCATTACAGCCAGTTGCACGACCCAAAATGCCATTCTTGCGTTTAGCGTGTGACAGTAGGGGCTATTTATATCAGCAGTTAACGCCGCAACATTTACTTTATCATTACACACTCTTATGAGTACATGAAGTGTTGGCTCAGTAGAGTTGTGCCTCTGAGTTGTCTAGGATGAATAATTCACCTGCAGGCTGATGAAAAGAGGGCACGGCGAGTGTGAAGCACTGAGGTGGGGTGACCTTGGTTCCTGCTGGCTGCAGGTCACCCGGCCGTTGCCGTGGTAATCATTCACACCGGCCAGATGGCATTTCTGTGGGCGGGCATGAAAAGGACGGGTCAGGGTCTCTTCTGCCAGGCCGAGTGAAGAACCCTGGGCCAGTGCGGTACCACGGGAGTGAGTCAATTCTATAGATGACAAAGCGTGGTCGATTTGACTTTTGATTACTCGGTGGGTCTGTTTCCTTTCATGTACAGTATGTGCATTCTCCTCCTGTTTGCGATAGTAAAAGCATTTGCAATATTTCATCAAAACGCATTGTGCCGGTTAGACTTGTATGGCGCGTGTCCTTGTGGTCACTCAAATCCAGCCGTCTTGTTTCGTGTAATGTTGCAATGCTGTGCTCATTTGGAGAAATAATGCCTCAATGATTTGTGACCATCCCTTGACCCTGTTTCCACACTTCTCTTCCATGAATTTTAGAGGCGGTAGGGTTTTTAAATCACAGACAAAAGCGGTACTACATTCAGCATGACTCAGTTGCTCTGGTGTCATCTCTAATCCGCACACATAGACAACAGTATTGCCAAACAGTGAAATTGCTTTGCTGCCTGTGAGCTTGGATGCCTCGGCTGCCAGCCCGCTCTGTGTGCTGTTTGCCAGTAGATTCCACACACACACACACACACACACACACACACACACACACACACACACACACACTAACCTCCCAATCTCAAATTGGCTGTGAAAATCGCTGTCTGTCGCTCATTCATTCATGCTTTAAATATTTGTTTGCTGAAACTGTTAATGTCACATGTCTCAGTGTAATCTCATTGTAGTGGGGAGTAAATCTGTCTGAGCTCCTCCAGTCTTGTATTATTTATCCGAATGACTGTATCGTTTCATTCCAAAGCTGAGCTGGCTCAAAAAAAAAAAAAGCTTCAAAGTTGCCCTTCACTGTGGGTACTGTACTCTGTGTTCATTATTCCATCTTTTCACAACTCCTCTCATGTTGGCAGCTCTTTCAAACGTGTTGCAGATTAAGTGCTGCGTTTACATGTAAAATCACTGGCTTGAGTGCTCATATAAACGTATGCCCCCACTATCACTACTTAGTTGACTCAAAGGGAGGGCCATGTCTGTCACAAATCTGGCATCTTCTGGGCTGCTCCCCTTTTCCTTTGACAGTAACAACAAAGACAAATGAGGAAGTGGAATTTTACACAACCATCTGGGGCAAATTGAGATGTGAAATCCAGGAGCAATAACCCCAGTATATATAAATATATAAAAAAAAAACAGGGAACACTGCAGCGTGAGAGGAGTGAAACAGACTTTCGCGTTAAGCTGTTTAACCTCACTGTGTAGCATTAGTGGTAGAGACTTCAAAGCAGACGCTTGAGCGTTGGAAGACGAACGACAAATGGATTTAGAGAGAGCTACGTTCAGCATTCACACTTGAAGACTAGGCCTGTCATTAATGTCAGCTTAATCACTCTGACCTTCCTTCAAGTAGATTTCCATACCTATCCATTTTCTTCTTTTTTTTTTGCCGTGCTTGTGCTCCTGTCACCACGGTGCTGTATGTGTGACGTTTTGATAAGCTCTGCTTTGATGATATTGTTTCTAAAGTCCTACATGCCGCGGTTCTAAAAGGTCATGCCGTATGCTTGATTTTTAACAAAAGACCCCAGTTCAGCAACGAAGGTAAAACATAGCTATCTCTTTGTGGTACACAGTAATCCCCAGTTTTTCACGGTTAATTGGTTCCGGACCACCGCACGAAAGTGAAAAACCGCGAAGTAGCAACCACCATATCCACACAGCTACTGCATGAGCTCACGATAGTAGAAGAGTCTCGTGATGTTCTGCTGAGCTGTTGGTGTAGATTCAACTGTTTTATATGGTGTGTTTCCTCGTAGTTTGACGATAGTATCGCGGGTCAAAGCAGGTATGGGTGCCACCATCCTTCTCCCACTGACTTTCAATCACAAATCAAAATCAGAAGTTTGGATTTGTGATTGGATGAGCAAGTGTGTTTAGGTAAAACCTACGCCTACATACAACTTTTTGCTTTGTGCTGTAGAGAAATGACCAGTTTAATTTGTTTTTTGGCATGTTTACTGCCAACAATAAACATTTGTTCTCTCAGTTAGTGTAGCCAAGATTACTCAAAAATGACAGTCTGTCAAAATGCTAACTGGACTTAGAATGGCCATTTCAACCTGACTACAACGCACCAATAATAATAATAAAAATAAATAAATTAATACTTTTTGGGGTGGGGGGGGGCAATGTCCTTTTTGTGTTTTTTCACGTGACATCGCCTACAAAAGATCTGGTCAAAACCGCCTTCAAAGTAAAGTAAAACAGTAACACTTCACATTATCTTTACATCTAATCTTTACATCTTTTTTTTTTTTTTTTTTTTTTTAAAATTTTTTTTTTTTTACGG